CCCCAAAACCCCAAAACCCCAAAACCCCAGTGGCTCAAATTCGCTTGAAAATAACCTTAAATTATAATTAACTAATAACATCATAACCATGTCAGACCCAACCAACTCCCCAACCTCCCACAAGGCTCCCATCCACTTCTAAAATCCCTCAAAGCCTCCACTCAAAATCGACTCTTCAGCACTACAACTCCACACGCCTCCAATCCTACTCGACTCGGCTGCATCAAATCCACCAGAGTCTTCTTCGCACAAAGGCTGAGATCTCCCAGGCTGATTGGGCAGGTCTCACCGACCAGATCCCTGCTCTTTCACTGGGAATCGAGCAGGTGAAGGCTGAAGTTGACCAGGTTCTGGAGAAGTACAACCATTTGTTCTGTTATGGACTTACTAAGAAGAAGAGACCGCCAAAGAAAAGGTGTATAAAGACAGGCAAAAAATTCGTCCCTAAAAGCACTTCCCTAGCTTTGACTTGAAGCAGAGTCTTGAAAGCCCGAGAGAATTACAAAAAGACTTTTACTCTAGTCGAAAACAGAGTTTATGAGCAAACTATTGAAATTGACAGCCAAGTCTGGGCTGCCTGTCACGAAAATATGAACAGTTATAATTTCAGAACAGGAGAAGAAGGCTTCAGACTTGAAGATAGGCTCGTTGTTGACTGGGAAGATCCTTCAAACTATAAACTCGTCAAGAAGCTTCAGAAAATTACTCTTATTTGGCTTGACGAAGTAAGGATAATAAATATCTCAGAAAGACACCCGGAACTGGCAAAATCAATTCTAAGCGGCTTAATTCCAAGAAAAATTAACCATTTAGAATTGAAAGCAGATCAATTTATTAAAATTGAAAAATTCATGGATGGGTTCACTTGAGCTAGCCGTAAAGTGCAAACAAAGGTCACACTTTACAATTTTAATATTAAAAATCAACTATGTTCGAAGAAAGAAGGCGAGAAAATAAAAGATGACTATTGGTTGGTTAAATTCTTTCAGGAGTACAAACATGTTAAGGCAATAAAGTTCTCTGAATGCATATTAGATTTTGAAGAGATTTCTGATTTTTCTCGAGCATTGAAGAACACCTCTATTGAAACTTTAACCTTTGGTGAAAAATATGGTTGATATAAACGCTGCTGGTTAGGATTTAATGGTAAAAGATTCAATAACTTTATTGAAGGTATTTCTAACTCAGACTTGAAGAAATCTCTAAGAATTTTATGATTCCCACAATGTTTCGAAACTGAACAAAACACTGTTAGTGTTTTGAAGGACAATGGACTTGACCATGTTGCAATATACAGTCACATTCATAAAAACTGATTCCCACAGAGTGGGTATGGGCGTCTATATGATTATTATAGAGATATTTTATTTCAGTCTTAGAAAATTCTAAAGGGGTTTTGGGGTTTTGGGGTTTTGGGGTTTTGGGA